CTGGGTCTCAGGAAAAGATTCGGGAGTACATATACATTTACGTCAGAAGATGCTGGGGAATGAGATGGTTGTAGGGAGAGATGGGAACAGTCCTTAACTACCTGTCTGTGCTTTATTTAGCCAGGCAACATATACCGTACTAGCGCAGCTCGGAAGACAGGGGGAAACTGCGATAAACCAGATGAGTTAAAATTTACGACCTGTTCGACGTCAAAAATCGCTGTTGCTGACGTCAGAGAATTAACTTGTCAGCAACTGGAGAGCTAGGAACAGATTGTGTTTATGCTGATTACGTGGTACAGGAACTTTGTCTGGGTGTAGCCAGCTGTGGGCCTTTTGAAGTCTGCTAGTCTGTGGTTTGTTTTATGATGGCTATAAATAGTCTGTCCCTTTCGCAAGAAGAACGGAACTGAATAATGGTATCAGGCAGTCATAACGGGTAGTTGTTAAAATGATAAACGGGTATCTTACATTTACAGACACGCCTATGTGTGGTTTGTATCCACCAGCCTGGAGTATTTACCTATGTGTAGCCCCGCCTCTGAACTCTTTCTACACCAGGGCTGTTCAAAGTTTACTTAGGTACTAAAATATTCCACATGGAGATCGTCACGGGCCACAAGCCCGAGCCCAAGCGTAGAAAGCTCATTAATACAAAACGATACATTTACTAGACCTCCGCGGAACAGATCTGGCCAGATATTTAAGTCAGGTGGGTTCTAGGGCCTTGTCTCACACAAGAAACCGGAAGTATCTTGAAGTCAGGGTATCAGGTGGGTTCCAGGGTCTAGAAAGCCCAACAGAAGGAATGGAAAAGATGACACAAAAACTGTCTTACACAAGAAACCGGGAGTATCTTGAAGTCATGGTATCAGGTGGGTTCCAGGGTCTAGAAATAGAAAGCCCAACAGAAGGAATGGAAAAGATGACACAAAACTGTCTTACACAAGAAACCGGGAGTATCTTGAAGTCAGGGTATCAGGTGGGTTGTGTGACTCTCTGCGGGTAGGGGGGTAGAGCCACTGCTTCTTTCCAAGTATGTCGTAAAAGGCGACTAATTAGGGATTTACTGAATTCACATTTGGTAGATAGAAGATCTAGACATAGCAGCCTCACTGTAAACCACATTACAACGAGCGAACCGCCCTGTGAAGACCGAATGCAGAAGAAGAAGACTGGATCAGGTGAGGGTAGAATCAGCGGTGTATTGGGCATGTGTGACAACAAATAACTACCCATATAAACCATCAGTCTGTAACACATCACATAAGGGTGTGTGTGCGCGCGCGCGTGTGTGTGTCCGTACGTGCGTGTTTGTATGTGTGGGTGGTTGGGGGGGGGGGGGGATCAGCCATGCACGTATTTCAATACTTGGAAATACCATACAGGCATTTCTTAGTACTAAACTTCGCCCCGGAAAGATATCTCTCTCTTTCTCTCCCGCTCTCTCTTTCTCTCTCTCTCTCTCTCTCTCTCTCTCTCTCTCTCTCTCTCTCTCTCTCTCCCCTCTCACACAAACACACACACACAACATCGAAATCAAGCTATCGTACTAGTGTGTTAACGACTTGGGGAAGATACGCTGAAATCAAGCAAAACAGAATTTTGTCAAAAAGAGTTCTGTGGACACAACAAACGTATATTGTTTGCATGTAGCTCCGTGCATGTTTTGATAGTCGTTTGTGCCAACTCAGCTAGTCTGCTAACGTTACGTCTCTTATACTCTTTTCTCTGCCTGCCCTCCCCCTCCTCCTTTTTCTCGGGTCAGACAGCACGTAGTTTCAAAAAGTAGTCGTGCTTCTTCTATAGATAACTATATAGCCACGCTGGTATCTGCCCGTCTTTGAGACTCGTGTCTACTAGTTAAGACTGGTCAAGTACTGCCAGTGACTAGTCTTGTCCTGGCACCGGTGCACGCACCAAGTTTTAGTGACCAGGAATTGCTAGTTCTGTGATGGGCACTTGAGGCCTTCAGACTGAAGTGTCAGGCCCTGAGGTTTGCACGAACAGGGAGTATCGATATTTGGTCACGTCTACTTCGAAGTTGTGGGGAAACCCACCGGTACTTCATACACAACAACAGTCTAGCAACGGAGTCATCTACTTAGCTTTTTGCTTACCCTGCAGTAAGGCACGAACAAACCTAGGAGAGGGAACTATTTTTTATAGTGTTTACATACAGGTACACTCGAACATTCACTTGAACGCGTGGCACATGTGCGGAATGTCGTGATGCTTCTGTGATTTGCATGATAAGTTTCTTGGAATAGTAATTTGGTAGTTTCTTGTTGCTTTCCACAATGGTATAGAAAGATCCTCAGAATATCTTGGACAAAGAAGAGGAGAAATACAAACATCTTGAAAGATCTGAACATCAAGGAAGATCGGCTAATAAACAGCATCCTTTCTCGGAAGCTGAAATATTTTACTCATATGAAGCGCCACGACGGATTGGAAAAGGGGGGGGGGGGATTTATAGCAGAAGGCATGGTACCAGGAAGGAGGTCAGGGGCCGACCGACACAAATATGGGCATAGGATGTAAGTGACTCCTTGAGTATGATATTTCATGAGGCGGTAGCGCTGGAGACCGTGATGAGAGCGACGTTCTGCAAAGGACCTGCTACGTGATGATAATGATTGGCAAGATTATTACACAGTAAGATTACCACTACTGCTTTCCCTTAGAGTTCGTATTAAATGTGTTTTCTGCACCACTGAAGAAATCAGCTTTCCCCACGCGTACACATCTGTGAACCTGGAGTATGTTGTCAGCAACTGCCGAAAAGTGATGTTTTTCTCGAATGGGCCGCTACCCGGTAGTTTGATCACCCCAGGGACTTCAAAGGTCTCTGATAGGATGACAGACCAACGGGGCAAATCCTGTCAGCCTCCAGAGAAATTATTTCTAGGGCTACGTAACGGGTGCAGTTTGCAAGTTTCGGTGTAGGGATGGATTGTATTCGTAGAAAATTATTTCTTCTATGGCCTTTAGTCGTCGTATTGAGAGGATCATTGTTGCATATCGCCCACACCAGACACCCGCCATCCTTTGTGTGCTGAAGACTGGCTCCTAAACTAACATATTCTCACTGCCTGAATATGGCTGGCATTGATTATACTTCACTCCCAGTCATAGTGTATTGAAGGAGCCATTGTACGCTGGCTGTTGTAGATGTAGTAGTAAACTATACCAGTCCCCCCGTGCCGGTACAAGTTTGTTGAACGTTTTGATCGATAGGCTGGCTGTACGGTTGTGTGAAGCACTTAGGAGAGGAGAGAACAATGCTGGTTCTCTACTATATCAAGCCCTGGGTGTACCACGCCTCCTTTCCTAATCACACTTGAAAGTAAGCGTTGGGTGTAGAAAGCTTTAGCTTGACTTCCAGGGTCAGGCGGGTTACCTTGTTTGCCTAAGATCATTGTTTGTTCTAGTCTACCCTTAATGTTCTACTTCCAGGGTCAGGCGGGTTACCTTGTTTGCCTAAGATCATTGTTTGTTCTAGTGTACCCTTAATGTTCTACTTCCAGGGTCAGGCGGGTTACCTTGTTTGCCTAAGATCATTGTTTGTTCTAGTGTACCCTTAATGTTCTACTTCCAGGGTCAGGCGGGTTACCTTGTTTGCCTAAGATCATTGTTTGTTCTAGTGTACCCTTAATGTTCTACTTCCAGGGTCAGGCGGGTTACCTTGTTTGCCTAAGATCATTGTTTGTTCTAGTCTACCCTTAATGTTCTACTTCCAGGGTCAGGCGGGTTACCTTGTTTGCCTAAGATCATTGTTTGTTCTAGTGTACCCTTAATGTTCTACTTCCAGGGTCAGGCGGGTTACCTTGTTTGCCTAAGATCATTGTTTGCTCTAGTGTACCCTTAATGTTCTACTTCCAGGGTCAGGCGGGTTACCTTGTTTGCCTAAGATCATTGTTTGTTCTAGTGTACCATTAATGTTCTATTTCGGCGTCTCTGGCTTGGGCGTTGCGAACGAGCTTCGTGATGCCGGTATGCCGGGTACGATCACAGCAGCGGACGGTTTGGTTTTTCTTGCGATTGGTTTCGACAGTGTTACCGAAAGCTGAACTGGAAACAAATGTCCAGTATCAGTCTTGCAGCTACGGGTTATTTTCTAGGATTTGAGAGGGTGGGAAAATGAGGGGGGAGGAGGGTGAAATCTGTGAAACACAGTCCCTGGTGGAGATGTTACTTGAAACACCAACCTCGTTCAGAAAGTCCATCTGATTTCACCCAGGCATATCAATCTCTGACTACCATCCCGCACGTTCGCTTATTTCAGATTGTGTAGTATAGATTCTCTAGTACACATAGATCACCATCTTGATACTTCCTGTTATCATCGTTATTGTCATCATTGAGTAACTAAAAAATGGACGTCTATCCAAATTCCTTTCTTCTGCGCTGTTGTTTAACAAAACCCATTCCTTTCACCCTTCCCATCTCTCTCCGTCTCTTTCACCCTATCTCTCCCCTCTCTCTTTATATCTTTCTCTCTCTCTCTCTCTCTCTCTCTCTCTCTCTCTCTCTCTCTCTCTCTCTCTCTCTCTCTCTCTCTCTCTCTCTCTTTCTTTCTCTCTCCCTCCAATTGACGACAACGGTGGTGTTAGTCACAGTTGTAGTTTCCTATCCCCAGTTAGGATCCCAGACAGTGCCTTCTAGAAGTTTAAGAAACACACACAACATTCCTCGACACAGGGTAGGCAATGTGCAGCCTCTGTATTGATTTTTCTGCAGGACGGTTTCTATAGTAAATCATCAATGAATCAGTGCCGCTATACGGTATTGGGGAAACAAGGCTGTTGGATCTAGACTGGGTTGTCTGTGCTGCCACTGATACATGTGTGCCTGTGACCGAGTCTCCGTTGTGTTAACATACCGATGTTTTAGAGAGAGAAAGAGAGAGGGAGAGAGAGAGAGAGAGATATGCCATTGTAAATGGTTTCTTTTCAGAGCATAGTTTGGTATGTACAGTTTGTATGTTTTGGTTGTAGAAGATGTCAACTCTTCAGTTGTGCGGCTTTCAATTATAGGCGATTGTCAGCTATCAGGTTATGGGAAAAGTGGAATAGTGACATGGAATAGTGTCATCTGTTCACACTATGTGACATATGACTGTAACATAGTTCCAGCTGTTTACAACTGGTAACATATGACTGTAACATAGTTCCAGCTGTTTACAACAGGTAACATATGACTGTAACATAGTTCCAGCTGTTTACAACTGGTAACATATGACTGTAACATAGTTCCAGCTATTTACAACAGGTAACATATGACTGTAACATAGTTCCAGCTGTTTACAATAGGTAAAATATGACTGTAACATAGTTCCAGCTATTTACAACAGGTAACATATGACTGTAACATAGTTCCAGCTGTTTACAACAGGTAAAATATGACTGTAACATAGTTCCAGCTGTTTACAACAGGTAGCACATGACTGTAACATAGTTCCAGCTGTTTACAGCAGGTAACATATGACTGTAACATAGTTCCAGCTGTTTACAGCAGGTAACATGTGACTGTAACATAGTTCCAGCTGTTTACAACAGGTAACATATGACTGTAACATAGTTCCAGCTGTTTACAACAGGTAACATATGACTGTAACATAGTTCCAGCTGTTTACAACTGGTAACATATGACTGTAACATAGTTCCAGCTATTTACAACAGGTAACATATGACTGTAACATAGTTCCAGCTGTTTACAACAGGTAAAATATGACTGTAACATAGTTCCAGCTATTTACAACAGGTAACATATTACTGTAACATAGTTCCAGCTGTTTACAACAGGTAAAATATGACTGTAACATAGTTACAGCTGTTTACAACAGGTAACACATGACTGTAACATAGTTCCAGCTGTTTACAGCAGGTAACATATGACTTTAACATAGTTCCAGCTGTTTACAGCAGGTAACATATGACTGTAACATAGTTCCAGCTGTTTACAGCAGGTAACATATGACTGTAACATAGTTCCAGCTGTTCACACCATGTGACATATGACTGTAACATAGTTCCAGCTGTTTACAGCAGGTAACATATGACTGTAACATAGTGTCAAGTGCTCACATTGCGTGACTCCTAACTCATTCTGTGTGGTGCAGATTTCAAAACAAACAGAAGTATCATTAATGGATGCAAGTAATATACTCCTATCATACGTGGATGTTCAGAGATATACTTTCCGGATCATGGTGGAGTTGGGTTCACGAGCGAGCAGATCTGTTGGCGTCACGAGCGCCAGTGATGAGCGCATGATGAACAGAGCAGACAATTTTAAGAATTTGTGTGAACAACTGCAATCTCAAGAGACGTTCAACGTTGTTCGAGCAAACCAATGCGACAGTCTGCGACCAAACTTTGCGACATTTGCTACGGGCTCAGTTACACCTGTAGGGTTGTGATGTCGGTTCTCAAATCAATAATCCCAGTCATCAGATCCCCGTGAAAACTGTACACAGTTCTAGATCCTTAGTGTCTAGATCCTTAGTGTCTAGATCAGTCGGTAGTGTCTAGATCCTTAGTGTCTAGATCAGTCGGTAGTGTCTAGATCCTTAGTGTCTATATCAGTCGGTGGTGTCTAGATCAGTCGGTAGTGTCTAGATCAGTCGGTAGTGTCTAGATCAGTCGGTAGTGTCTAGATCAGTCGGTAGTGTCTAGATCAGTCGGTAGTGTCTAGATCAGTCGGTAGTGTCTAGATCAGTCGGTAGTGTCTAGATCAGTCGGTAGTGTCTAGATCAGTCGGTAGTGTCTAGATCAGTCGGTAGTGTCTAGATCAGTCGGTAGTGTCTAGATCAGTCGGTAGTGTCTAGATCAGTCGGTAGTGTCTAGATCAGTCGGTAGTGTCTAGATCAGTCGGTAGTGTCTGTCAGTCTTAGGGGGAGTTTTATAAGGGCCAGTGCTCTGTGTTTTTGGAGCGTGCTTAAATATACATTAAGCGATATCAACGGCATAGCGAAACACCCCCGTAACCTTGTGCCAAGGTAACAGGTTTAGAAACTACTAATTAGAAGTGACCTAGTGTGTATATAGGCGGGGTGTGGGGTGATTAACGTTTACCCATATTATAGCACAGTATTTCTGTGACTTTTTATTTTTGACATGCAGCCGTTGTTTGATTTACCTGCTTTGCACCACATCTTCTATATTTCTTAGTCCCCCCCCCCCCCCCCCTCTTCCCTTTAAAACTCGTTTCCTTGCCTGACGGTTTTACGTTTTGGTTTTATTGTTTCTCCCCTGTCGGATAACAGTCAGTACAGAAACATTTTTTTTTAAAGGGAAATACTTCTTGCATATTCACTCCCCACCCCGACTTTCTCCTGTGTGTGCCTGTGTGTGTGTTTGTGTGTGTGTATGTGTGTGTGCATAGGCACGAGTGCATTTGTTGAAAGGGCGTTGAAGACGGGCCAGAACGTTGGCGTGTTTATGTGTCTTACCTTTCATTTGTGGATATTCTAAGTTACATTTCACGTTAATTCATACCGGATTGAGCTGGCTAGTGAAGGTCATTATGTTTGTTCATGCGTAACGAACATGGAGAACTTCATAGCCTAGCTCGGCTGTCACTCTTTCTTGTCAGTTGAACGGTTTCAAGTTACCCGCGGATCAGTGTCGTGACTTTCCTGTATAGTTACCCATCGTTCCCCTCCCGACTAATGTGAAGCCTGGGGCGGCAGTTGTCTAGGATGCGTTCAGGCTGTTTGAATGACCTGTCACTTCTTGACGGCGATACTATCGCCTTACATTCATTTCATCACCACACCACCATCTTCACCGTGTATCATTCCCTGGCCTGATCGATGTTTCAGCACAAATCCTGTCTTCCTCTTCTTCTTTATTTGTTGTCTCACTGATACCAGGCTGTAGCCCAGTGTCGTGGTTTTGTCGTCTTATTGATACCAGGTTGAAGCCCAGTGTCGTGGTTTTGTCGTCTCACTGATACCGGGTTGTAGCCCAGTGTCGTGGTTTTGTCGTCTTATTGATACCAGGTTGTAGCCCAGTGTCGTGGTTTTGTCGTCTCACTGATACCAGGTTGTGGCCCAGTGTCGTGGTTTTGTCGTCTCATTGATACCAGGTTGCAGCCCAGTGCCGTGGTTTTGTCGTCTCACTGATACCAGGTTGTAGCCCAGTGTCGTGGTTTTGTCGTCTCATTGATACCAGGTTGTAGCCCATGTCGTGGTTTTGTTGTCTCACTGATACCGGGCTGTAGCCCAGTGTCGTGGTTTTGTCGTCTCACTGATACCAGGTTGTAGCCCAGTGTCGTGGTTTTGTTGTCTCACTGATACCGGGCTGTAGCCCAGTGTCGTGGTTTTGTTGTCTCACTGATACCAGGCTGTAGCCCAGTGTCGTGGTTTTGTTGTCTCACTGATACCAGGTTGTAGAACAGTGTCGTGGTTTTGTTGTCTCACTAATACCAGGCTGTAGCCCAGTGTCGTGGTTTTGTTGTCTCATTGATACCAGGCTGTAGCCTAGTGTCGTGGTTTTGTAGTCTCACTGATACCAGGTTGAAGCCCAGTGTCGTGGTTTTGTTGTCTCACTGATACCAGGTTGTAGCCCAGTGTCGTGGTTTTGTTGTCTCACTGATACCAGGTTGTAGCCCAGTGTCGAGGTTTTGTTGTCTCACTGATACCAGGTTGTAGCCCAGTGTCATGGTTTTGTTGTCTCACTGATACCAGGTTGTAGCCCAGTGTCGAGGTTTTGTTGTCTCACTGATACCTGGTTGTAGCCCAGTGTCGTGGTTTTATCATCTCACTGATGCCAGGTTGTAGCCTAGTGTCGTGTTTTTCTGTATTTGTCTTGCGCTTCTCGGATGGCTTGAGTGATGGATTTGTTAAACTTTGTGCAGGTTTCATCTACCTACACCATTTATCCATTTCTTTCTTGGTCTTCCTCTCGCCTTCCTCCCAGATGTTCTACTGTAAAAAGTCTCATATGTAGTCTGGCCTGGCTGCATTCTCACTAGATGACCGAACCATTTCATTCTTTGTCCGTCAGTAGAATCCAGACATGGTCTTATTCCAACTTTCTCTCTAATGCTCGTATTCGTAACCCTGTCTCGTCTAGTGTTGTTAGTGACCTTGCGGAGACAGCGCGTTTCACGTGTAGCTATTCTCTGTTCTAGTGCCTTATTCTTCTTCTTCTTCTTCTTCTTCTTGTTCACCGGCTGTGAATTCCGGCGGTAAGTCGCGGTTGTTCGTCCAAAATGGACTTTTGGCTTTTACCTTGACCTGAGTTTTGCGTGTACATCCGTTTTGCTGGCTTATTTGTTCGCAGTTCTCGTTCCCCGCCTCTCCGGCTGATGTACTCCGACTTCGGAGGAAGACGTCAAGCCTATTTCTAGGTTGACCGTTAGTTCCTTATTCAGTGTCGAAGTCTCTGCTAGGGACATCCTGCGAGAAGTAGGGATAAAGATGCTATTAATCAATTGCTGCTTTTTTGCTGGAAGGGAGACATTTGGGTGTCTAATCAGAGGGGCTCACTTGTAGGTGACAGCGTTTGTCTTCTGTACTCTGGCTTCTATCTCTCTATCGAGTCTGCCAACCTCCGTAAATGTGCTTCCTAAATATTTGAATTCTTGTACTTGTGTGATTGTAGTACCGTTAACTCGAACGTTCATGATATTATGTTTCCTGCCTATTCTCATTACCTCAGATCTCTCGGTGTTTATTCTCATGTCAGACTGTGTGCAGATGCCCAACAAAATGTTTCATCGCACAATGGTATCGTTCCTTGTCGTCCAGCAGGGCTGTGAAGAGTCTTAGCTCACTGCCTAAATCTCCTTGTCCCCCTGTCTCTCCCCTCCCTCCCCCACCCAACCCCCGCAGCCTGTCCAGCAAAGCCGGACCTCTAAATGGCGTTTGTGATCGTCTCGGCTAAGTCAGAACAGTGGAGGTCAGCTTGACCTCTGGAAACACTAGGCAGCATTTAGGCTCATCATATTAGCTTACATGCTATCTAGTTAGCAGCCTCTGTGGATTTGGCATTGTGAACGTGCTTTGTAATTTCAAAATAACCGGTTTGATTCC